TCCATATGTCTACTCCATCAGGCTAGTATTAGGCAAACGAATTCACACACGTTACGTCCAAGGAAAGTTTAACCCTCTAAAAAGCAAATAGATCAGTGCGTTTCTTGTATTCTGTTACAAGAAAATTGTACCCACACACATTTTTGTTATTCTTTGTGATGAAAAAGACATGATACGCTACGTGTGGGACCACAAGGGGACCTTTTCTTGGACTTGCCCTACTTGCAAAAAAGGAGAGTTTTCTAGTTATGTTGAAGAGTACTAGGCCTATTAATATGTGATTACAGATATAAATGGAAACAAGTCTTTTATTTAATTAAAAAGTATGCAAAAAAAGAGAAACTTTCAACATTTTCAGTCACTGCAAAGCATAGAAAGTGAATTTGACACCACATTTCATTAATATCCAAACGTGTCAGAATATTGTTTGTTTGTTTTTAATTATATAAAAAAAATATGAACAAAATGAAAATGCACCTGGTCAGTTGCTCTTTGTGGTTTATTTGAAAAAAGCAAAAAATACCCTTTGTTTTCATATTTCCTTTAGTAGTTTTAATGTTCAATGAATAATCCTGAAAACATTTGCTAAGGTAACCAACCCCCCCCCCTTCAATGCTGTGTCAAATCAGTTATTCCTTCATCTTTTTGCAGTTTTTAAAACTGATCTTCACACCAACTTTTGCACCGATGTTTATACAAAATATGAACAAAATATTTAATAAAAATTCTTAAAAACATTATTATCAAAAAAAAAAGGCACTAATCTGTGGTTGGATTAATCCAAAACTAATCTTTTAAATGTCTGACATAAGTACAATCATATTCAGGCAGCCTATTACACAAAATATAACATAAACATTCTTTCGAATAAATATATACAAAATATTTACAAAAGTCACTTATTGGAGGTTGGAATAATCACAAAACTACTCAGGGTGAAACTTCATTTTTGAACCGTTATACACGCACAATTAAGCCACTTAGGCCAACGAGTCTCCAAAAATATAATTTTATTTACAAAATATACACATGTTTTCCATCTTGGAATAATCACATAACTTCTCACTGTTTAAACTACTCATTGTTTTAACGTGATCAATACAACTGTTGTCAGGCCAACAAGTCTCAACTTGGAAATGGACCAAACCACCCATACAGCCTCAGAAATCAACAAATACCATATATCCACTGGGTTTTCAAATTAGTGATGTTTCCATGCACACACGTAGAGATTTGAGGTCTACAGTAATTTTGTTTGCCACTTCAAAAAGTTTCCAGATGTGGAATCTACACTTATTCACAAACATGGGATTGTGGTAAACCAGGGATCTTATTTGCATAAACTATTGTTGTTTTAAGAAATAGTTTAAGTCGGAGAATAGACAGCTTGGAACTGTAGATTTGTGCCAGATTCGCCCCGTCCATTCTTAGCATGAATCTACAGTTCCTTGTCCATTCTCATGGACCCAATCAGCAAATCATAGACACTCTAAAAAGTCACGGGTCAGATTCGACCCAAATCTGGGTCAGATTTGTTTAAATTGCAAACAGGCATCCTGGAATAACACATTTTTAATTATCTGTTTTTAGAATTTGCACACGTCCCTGATTTTATAGTATTCTTTTTTTCAATAGTTCACAGCTAATCATGTCAATCATGCAGTGCGATCCTATTGACGACCTAAATTGAGAATGTATTACAATGTTTTGCCTTTGAGAATGGTCATGTTTAGGGTTGAATTGCCCCTGATTTTGTTGATTTTCTTGTAAATTTCATTTCCTTTGATAGATAATGTTATCATTTTGATATGTTATGCCTAGTACATGTAATTCAAGAGTGGGTTTGGCAAGGGAGAATTACAATATAACCCTAAGTGATGGGAAGAGGGAGTGTAACTTATCCCATCCATCCAATGCCTTGCTGCCATATAGGTTCAACTCAGTCAGACTTGACATGTTACCTACAGCCGAGGCAATGTGTGGAATGTCTGACCGTGTCAATTTGCAAGCCCCCAGGCTCAGCTTATTCAAGTGCATCATTTTTGGCAATTCCTTGGCCCAAAATGCAGCACATCTACCCAATAGATAGTTGCCATGAAGATTCAACTCAGTCAGTCTGGGCATGTTGCCTACAGCCGAGGCAATGTGTGGAATGTCTGACTGTGTTACGTCGCAAGCCCTCAGGTCCAGCATATTTAAGTGCTTCATTTTGGGCAATTCCTTGGCCCACAAGTCAGCGGATCCGCCCAGTGTCCGGTTGCAAACAAGGATCAAGTCAGTCAGTTTAGGCATGTCATGTACAGCCAAGGCAATGTGTTCAATGTCTGTGCTCTGAAGTTTGCACCAGCTTACCTTAAGTTTCTCAAGGCTTGTCAAGTGTTTGATATGAGGGGCCCATTCTACAGCTCTACCTCCCAATGTATTGCAATTAGTTATATCAAGCTTGGTCAAGACATGGTTACATTTCAGTGATGTCAGGATTTTTTCAAGATCACCCTTCACTAAAGGACACCTATGGAGCTTCAGATCCCTGAGATTTTCCATGTAACCCAGGGCAAAGGCTAAACCACTGACCAAAGACACGCCAGCAACATAAAAGAATGTAATACATGCCAGTTGTGTTGTCTGGCTGTCTGACCTACTGATGATTTCAAGGAGGTGTACGAAACTGTGGAAATCAGTATTGCTAAGCACACGGATACGTGATGAGATAAGTGAATCACTTGGGAGACACTGTGGGACATTTTTGGATCGACTTTCAAAAAAACACTGTCTACTAATGGCTTGTATAACAGCTGAATGGTACTTCATACTAATGGTACTAATGGACTTAGATTCCTCATTGAACTTATGAACAAGCAAGTTTACGATGTCAGACATGCACTTTTCATTGTCACCAGAACAAAAACGTAAAATGAAATCATTTGAAACAACACCCTCAACTGTCTGACAAAGTTGCCTTAAATTGTTTTGAAATTCACTGAATGGTTCAACTTTGTACACTGTACTCTTTACAAATCCCTGGTTTGACATATGTACACTTTGCAAGTATTTCCCAGCACAGTATTCCTGAATAGTCTTGTGCATAAATTGTATGTTGTTGTGGCATTTGAGGTGTTTGATAACTCTCTGCTGGGTTAGGATGCCTGCTTTCAGTGCCAGGTCCAGCGCATTTTTTTCAAACTCATCTTTTTGAAATGAGAAATTTTGGTCTGCACTTACAAATCCACTCAGTGCAGTTTTTCCTATAGCAATCACTGTTTTTGATGCATCTTCGGAGCTATATCCTTTTCTTATGAACATGTGATCAACCGCCTCAGTGAACAGGCGTGAAGTTGTTTCAGGGAGTTGTTTTTTCTCCCTCCACAACAAACACATGAGAAGGAGAAGCATCGAATTTGTTGCAAAATCACACAATGTGTTGGACTTCACAATCTTTTGGATCAGTGCACTGCCATTATCAGGATCTTTGTAATAGAATTTCCGAATATATTCATTAACATCTTCCTTGGTAAACCCCAGAATCTCTATGTGTGTGCAAGGATTTTTTACAAGTGATTTTGACATCAGTGTCTCAAGATGAGAGGGGCGAGTCGACACTATGATGAAACAATCCCTGTATTCTGTTCTACTGAGTGCTTTTAGGATAGAACCGAATGAGGCTGCATCAAGTGGTTTGGTCCTCATTTCATCAAAACCATCCAAAAGAATCAATACCTTATTTGAGTTGTCCTGAATAAATTGATCAAGTTCATCTCTGGCTACTCCTGACTTTGTGCCTAGAAGTTGATCAAAAATGGAATCAACAAGATCAGACTCTTGGAACAGGGCATACATCTTCAAAAGAAAGACAAGCTTAAATCTTTTTAGGATTTCACATGCCTCATCGGCCCAGTCATATGCAATCTTGTCAAAAATGGTTGACTTCCCGACACCACCAATGCCAAATAAAACAGCACGATTGAACTCAGTCTCAGGCCAATCTGTCAATATTTTCTCATACTCTGTGGAATATACAGTTTCCTCAGAGTATTCTTCTTCTACAGTACCTTTCTTTGTTCTAACTCGCAATTTAGTGTAAATGCCAACAATGGGTCTTTGATCGTCAGGAACCTCGGGGTTCAACTGAACATAGCTACCCGTTGTCTTGTACCATTTCATCAAAATGTCCCTGGTCTTGTTACCGACTTCTTGGTGGAGACCCCCCACTCCTGGTTCTTGGTCTGGTCTCTGACTCTGTGCAGGTACTCCTATTTAACAAGCAAAATGTACATGTAATAGTTAGCAGCAGGTCATGGGTTCGAGTCCCACCCGAGTGATTTTTTTTTCTCATTATCACTCGGGACAACACTTAGTATACAGTGTTTATGAAATATGTCGGTGGAGGGCAAAACCCATTACTGAATCACTTCAGTTTATCACTGTTTCTGAAACAATTGAATAGTCTTCTTCTATGGCAGCAAATTAACAGTTCGTTAGTAAGGCAGTGTACAAAACAAAACAAAATAATAATCCAACAAATGTTTTGGCTTTTGTACGTCTGTTCGACACAAAGTTGTCAGATGTCGGTAAATAGTATTTACACTTTTTTACACTAAAATAAATTCAGACAAAAACCTGGTAACTGCATGTGGAGGCCTCCAAAACTTGATTCCATTTTTCCCCCCACTTTTTTTTCTTCCCAGTGTGACACACACAAACGGGGTGCCATTTGGTGTGGGTATATAAAGAACACATTACAAGACTCCTAATGTGGTCACCATATATCCTATTACAAACTGGTTTATAATTGTTGGAAAAAAAATTGGAGACTCTCTCACGAAACTGGCAATCCATTTTTTGTGTCCATGTTTGTGTAGTATATCATCTATATCCCCCTCCCCCCACAAAAAATACATTGACATCTGATCTACTTAGATATCAATTAGTTCAACGAACAAGATCATATTTACCTGCTCCATCCGACTGCAAGTTGTAAGTGATACTAACTCCACTTGAACCAGTAATGGTAGGATTGTTTCTACCGCTGACTTTGCCCATGTTTCCGATGGCTCCAGCTCGTTGTGGGGAATCTACAATTAGAAGAATTAAATGAGCCTTTAAAGGACACTGCAAAACGATTCATGAACTTGATTCCATCCCTAGTTGCTGTCCGTGCTTGGAAAACTGTGACTTTTAATGAAGATATATAATTATGGGAAAATATGACCATTCAAAACAGAAGTTAAAACCCGAGGACTTACAAACAAATCTTGTGGCGACGTGGGTGGGTGGGCGAGTGAGCGAGTGGGGAAGGGGAGTTAATGCCCATCCCTCCCTCATCGATCCCATGCAAATAATCTACAATCCCGGCCAAAATGGTTAGGACACTTGGAAATAACCTTAGCCTTCCACGGTCACCCACTCCCCTGCTCCCCCGGTCAATGTTGTTCTCTCCAGCTGATGGAGCACACACCGCACAATGAGAGACAACATTGACAGGGGGCCGGGGGGGGGTTGGGGGCCCAGCGAGATTTGGCCAGGATTGTAGCTAGCGTACTAAATGTACTCACCTGTTGCAGCTGAGGGGGTGGGTACCTGTGCCTCCTGTTGCATCGTGGTAGGGACATCAGTCTGGCAGGCTGCTTCAGATTGTGCAGCCATGGTACTTTGGATCACCCAGCCACAAATGGAAGTCCTGTTTGTCAATGATAAATGAAAAGTTGTAACACACTGGTCTTCATATTCCAGCTTCAATCTCATTCTTCAGCATGAAAACTTGTACTTTCAATGTTGTTTATGTTTAGAATAAAGACTAGGTTTGTATGTAATTCAGCTTCCACATGAATATAGCCGTGCGTAGATGGGTCACGAGAGTAAAATCTGCGGCCTTGGCATCCGAGACCGAGACCAGCACTTTCAAGACCGAGACCAGCCCGTTCGAGATCAAGACTCTGATAGGATGAGACAGAGACAAGATCGAGACAAGACCGAGAAAAATGGTCTTGAGTCGCTGGTAGAAACTGCTCCAGACTAATGCACAGTTGACCGTCAGTCAGTGAGATCGGTAAAATGTGACAGTAAAACCTTTTAATTATAGGTTACCCTGATGTTTAGTTTAATCCATGAAACCAAAAAATGAAGAACCAAAAACAAAGAACTGAACCATCGCTGTGGCAAAACTTACAGTTAGGTTTGAAGCGGGTGGATTCAGAGACATCCAAGACGACACTAAAGCACTGCAGCTGCCACACCCAACAATCTCATGACCACTTGACGGAACTACATTATGCAAATTAATCTCTAGATAAGTGTCCATATATGGCATTGACTCAAACCTTACAAGTTAATGATTCACAAATGACTTTGATGTTATGTCACATGTAAGCAGGTTTCACCCAATGAAACAAAACATGCACTTTCAATATTTATATCTTGTCCTAATAAGTCTATTTTTGTACTTAATTATATCTTAGAACAGCAATAAAAGGCTGCTTTAATCCTGGCAAATCGCGTATCGATATTATATAAACTACATTTGTCCCAGTAGGCATACAGAAATACATCTGGGTTTTCCCAAATTGTTCTAAGTCAACACTGAAGTCCATGCTGAAGTGTTTTGTTTGGTCTGCTGTCATGGAAAGATCTACAAAGTTGACGAGTCAATGGATGACTAATTTTTCTTATCGAATGACGCCATTTCAAGTGTTCACAATTCTAAGCTCAGCATCAATTCAATGCAAATTAATTCACCTTTGAGCCTTTAGTCAACACGTACGTGTTTTGGCCAACAAACTCACCTAGCTTGGTACAAAAATGTGACACTGATCCAGCAAATACTTCTAGTGACATATTTTAATACCTGCATTATGAGAAACTATAATAAAATCCAATTAAAAAACTGCTGGAATGATTATTTGGAAGTAGGCCCATTCTAAAACTGGCACTAATGTCTGGACCAACTCTACAAAGGCATCAAGCCTTTCATTTATTTTCATAAGGAACCATTTTAACTAAGCCAATCTAACAGTCCAATAAAATTGTTACAAATATGTTGAAAAAAGTACGAACCTGAAATTTAATCTTCAACCTGTCACTTCCTGCACAAAGCCCTGATGCTTTCACCAAGAAATCCAGCCGCAAATTAAAGAAAAACAATTTTAAAACATAGATTTCAAAGCCTCAAGTTGGATAATCCAGCGGTTGAATAGCAGGAGGTTGTGGGTTCGAGTCCCACTCTAATAACCTTGCTTGTGTAACCGGGGAGAGTGGAATTAGTTAGTTTTTAAAATGTGGCACTCTCCTTATGTCCGAGGGGTTCCACTAAAAAATGATTTGGGTAGAGCGAATGTTTTCTGTTGTCTCACAAATATGAAATGGTTTATTTACAGTACAAATAGAGACAATATATATACAAATTATTAGGTATTTACACAAGAATTATATTAGAAACTTGGTTGGGTGTATAAAAACAGAACTTTGTTGGGTCTATAAAAACAGAACTTTGTTGGGTCTATAAAAACGACAGTCAAAAGGGAAATGGGCTAATGAAGTAGCTCCAAGGATATTATCACTTGGGAGGATCTACGTTCATGCCTACTCCGTGTCCGATGTGAAAATCGACGATCAGCATTGAAAATACAATGTAGATGTAAATATTTTACTGCTATAGGGAGCCTCTCTCAAAATTGTAATACAAGTCAAGAGTGTAAGCGCTCGTAAAAGATGGTCTGAATGCAACGATGTGTTGGATCGAAATCAACAATATTCCGCAGCAGGCCCTACAAGAAAACTATACCGAAACGCCCGGAATGTCAACTATTCCTCTTAAACAAAGCGCGGTGGAATGCAAAACTCGCATGCTCGCTACGCCCATCGCGTAGTTGAGCAAAATTCTAGGCGGCGCGCGCTGTAAAAAAAAGTTTAGTTGGCCGCGAGAGGGCCCTAGGCAAAAAGCATGATTGCAATGGCTGCTCACATGTAAAATGACATAAACGCGAAGTTACAAAAGTTATGAAATGAATGCTGGAGTACATGGAGTAAGGAACCTGTCGGGTAAAAGTAAGTACTGAAACCCGACCTGGTTACACTCACCCCCTAATTTTAAAGAAAAAAGAATTGTTATAGAAGGGAATTTCATAGTAACTAACGGTTAAAAGGAATATCCTATTTATAAAAAACTACTACACCAGCTCCTCGAAATAAACTTGGACAATACTAATATGTTCAAATGGTCGAGAGCGCGATAAAAGATTGTCCACCACTAGTATTTGACTAGTGAATTAGAGATTACCTCATTATGGACCTTAAATCTAAAACTCCCAATTTGGCCATAATTAGACATATGAAAGTCCGCGTAAAAAAATGAAGATTTGGCTATGAGTTTCTACAAATAAAAAATCCCTAAAAAACATCCACAATATCAGTATTAATTAAAATTGCAAGATAGTGTTGAATGACGGGATAGAGAAAAATGGCAAAAATATGGTCCACCTCTAGCATGTCGCTAGAGAAATAGAGATTATCTCCAATGGATCCAATAATCTAATTCTCAATATATAATCATACTACACTAATCTTACTATAAAAACCCTAGTATTTGGCTACACTTAATCCATTTAAAAAAACAAAATCCTCAACATCTATTTACAGGGCGTCTTTCAACCCCAACCTAAACATGTCTATTTATCCTAGTTGGGTTAGCTAATCCCAACAGTGGTTAAAACGAAATTAGGATAATGAGAGAATAAAATTTACCAAATACTGGCTTTACTATCAATACAGATATAATGGAATCTACATGTACAATGTGAAATAAAGGATATGGCGTCTGCTTTTAAGATTTATCAAAGATTAAAGATGTAAAAGGTTTATTCGCCTAAAGCGCTAATTAAATCATTTGCTAAATAGTTTTTTTTTCTGCAGCTATGATTTCAATATATTGCTACAAAAAGAATCAGTATACTGGCAATGGGACGATAAAAAAAAGTAAAAACATGTACAAAAATGTTAGGGTTTAGCTGAAGACGCGCGTACGCAGTTAAGCAACGACAACCTAATATGCACGCTTTAGCCCGGAATGTCAACTTTTCCTCTTAAACAAAGCGCGGTGGAATGCAAAACTCGCATGCTCGCTACGCCCATCGCGTAGTTGAGCAAAATTCTAGGCGGCGCGCGCTGTAAAAAAAGTTTAGTTGGCCGCGAGAGGGCCCTAGGCAAAAAGCATGATTGCAATGGCTGCTCACATGTAAAATGACATAAACGCGAAGTTACAAAAGTTATGAAATGAATGCTGGAGTACATGGAGTAAGGAACCTGTCGGGTAAAAGTAAGTACTGAAACCCGACCTGGTTACACTTGCCAAGGTTGTTTTTTAGAGTTCAGTATGTCACTGACAGTTTGCGAGGATTTTTTTCTTTAAGGATTGAGAAAGGTAAGGGAACAATGGGCCTTTCATGAATTGTGTCTTTTGGTTTCCAGCTCAGAGCCAGGTTTCAAGAAATCAGGAAGGCTCCTTACGAATAAACTAAGATATTAGGGTTCAATGACTGCAAACTGCAAGCCTGAAATGTCAACTGGATGATTGCTGAATCGCACGGCACCAAAACCGAGCATGAAAATCGTAAACCATGTACAAAAATCGTTATTTCTATCCAAAGAAACTGTTCAAAATTCAAAAAAGTGTCATTAGAATTGAGAGAACTGAGATGTCTGCTTGAGGTTGAAAAGATCATTTTTGAATGATAAAAAACACTACCGGTAACCGACTCTAATTTGATCGAAACTAAAAGAGGGGCCCGTACAGCATCAGTACACGATCACCGCCGTTAACGATATCCACTGCGGTGAAACGAAACCCTGTCTACTCAGCACGGATGCTCACCAATCACTTCTCAAAAGTGAGGGGTGGGGACATACCTTGATCAAAGGTAATGCGACAGAAAAGTGTGAAGCCCTAACGACATGGGGTGCGGGGCCCGCTTTGGGGCCCCAAAAATTGTGGGATTCTAGATGCTCTGTGGTGCGATCAGGGTCAATTTCTGACCACTTTATCCAATTTTTTTAAGCAAAATACTATGTGGGACAGTTCCACACTATCATGACTATGTGCGACAGATCACTTTTTATACAAACCACTTACACCCGCCCATGTTCAGAGTTTCCGTGTCCGAGTGACATCATTTCATAGTAAAATTCCTTCTCTTCAAGTTAAAACCAAATATGTTCACACAGACTCAACTTAAAGAGAAATAAATCATGTCTTTTGTACAGGACTCAACCCAACAGTTGCAGATAACTTTCGACAGTTCTGGATCACGCACGCTGCGCTACCTGGTACATGTACATGTATAAATTCATCTTTCACAGCGCACTCAGCACGCGTCGTGTGTTACGCCTTCATCATCAACTGCACACCAAACTGCATTGTGTGCATGGGTGATGCGCAACTGTCGCACGCAAGGATAGAAATCTTTCTGCGAATACGGCAATTAATTTAATTGCCAAAATCTTTGTTACTCCCCCTTAAAAAATTTGGTCGGGATCCCGACCAATATCCCGGTGGGATAGGTCGGGAATCCCGGTGGGATACTGCCAGGGATCCCGACCTTACCACCGGGATATTTTGTCGGGATCCCGACCTATCCCGTCGGGATACTGATCGGGATCCCGATGGGATGGGTCAGGATCCCGATGGGATAGGTCGGGAATCCCGGTGGGATACTGCTCGGGATCCCGACCTATACCACCGGGATATTTTGTCGGGATCCCGATGGGATGGGTCGGGATCCCGATGGGATAGGTCGGGAATCCCGGTGGGATACTGCTCGGGATCCCGACCTATACCACCGGGATATTTTGTCGGGATCCCGATGGGATGGGTCGGGATCCCGATGGGATAGGTCGGGAATCCCGGTGGGATACTGCCCGGGATCCCGACCTATACCACCGGGATATTTTGTCGGGATCCCGATGGGATGGGTCGGGATCCCGATGGGATAGGTCGGGATCCCAGTCAGTATCCCACCGGGATCCCAAAGTATCCCACCGGGATCCCGGTTAAATTCCACCTGTGAGAAGCTGAAATAACTGGAAAAAAAAGAAGTTTTATACTCACTATTATGAATTTATTATCATCTTTTGCCATACATCACGTCTTACCGTTCAAACAATATCCTCAACAGCTGTGTAAAAAAACTGCACATCCTATATGACACAATTTAAAGGGACCA